ACCCTCTGCAACGCCTTCCGGTCCGAGGCAGAGCAGTTCCCGTACCAGACTGTTGGTCAGGATGCTCTCGATGTTGTAGTTAACACTAAAGACTAGACAACAGAATAACTTTAAATTGTAAACTGAAAATGTAATTGTGTCTCAGTATATTTACCATCATGAAAATATTGATAATAACTCATTATCATCAAATTATCCTGATAATCAAAGTGCAACTTTTTTTTTTTTTTTAAAAAGGCAGATTGATATTAAGCTTATAATTATTATTATTATTATTATTTTTCATCAAAGCTGTTTTTCAGGCTTGACTAAGAAGAGGTAGAAAAGCCTATCGTGGATTTGGTTTAACACTGCTGACAGACAGACAGACAGACTGTGAGTGAATAGCAGACAAACTAACCAAAGGCAAAGATAATAGCACCAAGAAGGCGCCCACAGTGTATTGTACTTAGCTAAAGAAAAAGGATGCGCACATTACATTTACAGCTTACCAAAGATCTGAGTGAATGGGTTACTCGTGAGCAAAAATCATTTTGTCTTCTTTGTCGAGGATCATCGAATGAAACCTTTATGTTTCAGAACAAAGACAAACTGCAGATGCGAGCGCAGTTATGGATAAAAAAAAGTGATGGGTGAGCACTGACTGATGTTTTGATGTTGTGTGTTTGCACCGCTGAGAGAGAGAGAGCCACAGCCGTTTTCAGACCACAGGCAGTAAACAAACTGTAGTTCAGGAGCCAAGCTGTTAACTGTATCCTAAACTTCAAGAGGTGTTAATGAAATTAAGCAGGTGGGTGTGTTTACAACGCTATCGCTTCCAGAAGCAGCTGTTGTTCATTTGAGAAGCCAGAGACTGCCGATGAACTTGTCTGTTTCCAGTTGTGGATCATTAGAGAATTTTATACTCCACTTACAGTGTGGAGGGAACTCTGTTTCTTTATTACCAGGTTACTAACCCTCAGCCGCTGACCCTCTTCTTTTAAAGGGCATAAAGACATGAGCGTACTGCAGAACTTTTTCATGGATTAACCGACTTGTATTGTCAACGCAAGGGTCAAATGAAGAGCTTCCTTTCACTGCTGAAGAAGCCATCCTTGACTTTTAATTCTACCGTGCCCTTCAATAGTGTTTCATTTTACAGCCTCTCCTGCTGAAATTAGCATCGCTGAAGCGAAGATGGCCAGCGAGCTCATTATAACCTGAAAGAGGTCTCTTTCAAATGCTGATCTGTCTTGGCCTGAGATGAGTGAAAGACTTCTATCACACTGCCTGCACAAGTGGACCTTGAACTAAATCACAGCCGAAACACTTTAACTGACAACACAGTCATATTTTTTGGGCTCATAAAAGGAAGCGCATATGAGAAGGATAAATAAGCTACAATAAAAACATCAAACTAAGCTCAGTGCACTTCACATGGAGTGACATCATTTCAATTTGTGATTCAGCTGAGAATTATCACTCAAAGCCAAACAAGAACACACGTTGCCAGAGTGATTCAAATGATATCAGCGTATCTGCAAGCAAGTACAGAAATGCTGATATGAATTAAATGACAGTAAAACGCAGTTTTACATCAATGAAGCCTAAAAATCTGACAGCACTGCCAGCTTATTGATGAAAAAGAAAACATAAGAGAAGGATCAATCAGGTACACGTCCCACGGAGCGGCATCTTTCAAGAAGTGAAAACAGAATTACAGGACCTGCAAATGCCACATATAGAGCTATTAACAGGATTAAAATCTCATTGGTTCACCTGCAGGTAAGTAACAAAAACACTGCTATGCTTACATATAAGCTGTTGTACCTATTTTGTGGAGGATGCTCACATGAAACAAACACCCAAATCAAAAATAATAAAGTGAGTGTATGTACAAGTAATCCTTTAAACATTTGGTTTCTTAGCAGTCAGAGGAAGCGTCTTACACTTTAGTGTGGCTGTAACTAATAATGGTTTTAGAATTGCTTGTTTCAGAGGATGAACTAAGGTGCTGCTGAGTCTCAGTAGATCTATAAGAATTATTTTAGACTTTGAATCATATGCAGTTACTTTAGTAGAGTCCCAGAATAAAATTGTGGAGCTGGAAATGTACAATAGATTTCCTGTTAGATACATAAAAAACATTGTCACATAATCCCTCTATCGGAGACTGCAAAGAAATATAAAAGTGAACTGCACGATGATGCATGCTTCAGTGCATTCTGTATATTTGTCACTATTCTGGCTTCCAGTGCTTATAGGCATTTTGAGAACTTTATGTATAGATTTGGACAGGTCATAGGCTGTTTTAAATGGCTGTGAAACAATGAATATGTCAAACAGGCATTATTATCAGCTTTATAAATAGATAGGTTATTTATTATTATTAGAGTTTGGTTTGCAATTCTTGCGATTTTTTTTCTTTTAGTTGATCCTTGCTGGTTGCCATAATCCATCTTGGAAACATTATTATTTTCCCCCACGAGACAGTAACACATTCACTTTCCCCTAAAGCTGCAGGGACTTGTAAGCGTAGTTCTGGCTGAATGCAAATAAGCCAGAGGACCGCTTAAGGCTGCATAAAGAACTGACTGTTTCCACATGTATGGCTTCATCTGCCCAAATGACTGGTTATACTTTTCAGGATGACTTTGGCTTTGATTAATTTCTGTTCAGATTTCTGAAATTTACCCCATTTTACTGAAATTCTTTTTTTAAGTCATGTGTTGTGTGAACAAATACACCTGTGAACAGGTGAACAAAAACTGCATTAAAAAAACACAACCTAGTGCTGCCCTAGATTATGATACTGTACTGTGATTTAAATAAAAGTGAAACAGGTCCAAGATTAAATAACAGAGTTTAAAACCATATAGTCAGGCGGCACTAGGTTCACAGTGAAACTCTTTGTTCACCTATAAATAGAATGACAAAATGGAAAAACACTCAGATACACACAATCACAAAAAACAGAGGGGATCTTTCTTTTGGAGGGAGGATGAAGCGAGGCGGTCAGCCTAGGGGAAGCAGCGTGCTATATACTCATTTTGTGAAAGTAATCTGAGAAGTATGTTTGTTGTTTTCATACAAACGCACAGAAGCCACCCTTATCTTTGTATCACGCTTGGGTGTTATCAAAGATTTCCAGTATACCGGAGCACACCTGGCACAGTCAGATCTCTCTTATTAAACCGGTAGAGTAATGCTGTATTCAGGCTATATTGTAATAGCATGTGCCACCTGACATCAGCCTCTTCTGTGGAACAAGCAGAGAACTTGCTTGTTGGACTAGTAACAAGAAAAACGCCGCTATCCCTCTTGGGGAAAACAGGCCGTCAGAGACTAAACTCTGTAGCCTCAAGAAACTTGTGGGTAAAGACAAGAAATCAAGCTGCGAGTCTGCCACCACCACCTACACATTTTCTAGTTTACCCACTGATGTGTCAGAATCCACTACTGCAACAAGTGCCATTAGGTTCCATAACTTCCAGCTCATACTTCAGTAAGCTCCTGTGAAATGTCTGGATGGTGTGACGACATGAAGGAAATAAGACGATGCCGTCTGGTTTGAGTGATTAGCTAATCAGTTTGATAGTCTCTGTGTTCCTTCAAGAATACAAATGCCTGTTTTTGCCATCATACGCCTGCATGCATAATTTAATATCTACTCTCTGATTATTTTTGCAAGTACACCGTGTTTTGTGTTGCTTGTCCTTCGCCAGAGGTATTAACCGAATTCAATCCACTCGTGTTTCTTCAGAGGCCTCCAAAGAAAACAAGCATTCATGATTATGTTTTTGCAGTTTGGATGCTGTAGGTTGAAAGGTGCTTCCTGGAGAGTTGTTGTCATTTTCAGAACTGGGAGACAAACACAAATTCTGCCTCAAAGGTCATGAGTCCTTTGTTTAGCTCCTGAATATTACATCTACGGTTTCTTTTTTTTCCCTCTCCCCCTGTTTCCCACCACTGCAGCCCTCTCTGCTCATTACCGAGTGTGTGAACCTTACTCTGACCACAAAGGGCGGTACCACTTTGGCTTTCACTGCCCACGCCTCTCAGACAACAAGACCTATATGTTCTGCTGCCACCACAACAACACCGCCTTCAAGTACTGCTGCAACGAGACTGAGTTCCAGTTGGTCATGCAGGTCAACCTCACCACCACCCCTGATGGTTATGCACACAAGTGAGTAATAATTTAAGATGCCATTTGAGTCAAATGGATTTACACTGTGAATCTTCTGTGACAAAAATCTGCACTGTCATATTTTTCCTTTTTTTTCTTGGTTTAGAAAAGAGATTAAATAAAACATCACAGTTAGCATCTTCAGGCTTAGATGCCCAATGCTACTCAAGGGTTACCAGTTCAAACATTGCCCATCTTAACAAAGTCAAATATTGGGAATCATGACATACTGATGAGAAATGGAATGCACAAGACACATATGGACAAGGACTAAATACATGGAGTTTTATACATATTTCCATCAGAGTCTGTTTCTGACCTCTTGTTTTAGGTGTGTGTGTGTTCATAAGTTTTGTCTCGCTGTTCGCTATCAGGCATTATAATTGCCCAATAGGACCTGTGGTAGTAGTAAAGGTGAACTTCAGGCAAAAGTTGCATTTGCAAAGAAAAAAATTGCAAGAGTCTTAGCTAGCTTAATGTGCAGAATTTTAATTCAGGCTGTGAAGGTTTTAAAATATTTTAAACATGTCTCACATACCCTCGGCTGACTGTATTTAAAACATAGGGTTTTATGGGGAAAACAATCCTTTTTCAGGGCAGTAACTACATTGTTTGAAGTGTATGGAGATTATATCAAGTGCAAGAGCAGAGCTCTGACTGATTTTTTACCAAAAACTTTACAAATAGAGGGACATCATCAATAGAGAACCTAACAGTGACTCCAGTCCACAAAAATCAAATCCCCCAACAACCCCGAATAACCCTAACTTATACTTTCTTTCCGCTGTAATCATGGGGGTCAAACCTAGAGATATTTACAATTTATTCACAGAAAAAAACTCCTACAATAAATAACATGAGCATCCTAATACTATAATAGACAAAAGCATTTTAACAAAAGCCCAAGACAGAAATCATCCCATTCCCTCCTTCTATCCTCAGTGGTACAGCCCAATCACCTGACTGAAAAATGTGTGCTTCATGAAAACACCATCATCCACCAACCCTGCTAAAACAAAACAAACAATACCAAAACATAACCTGCATGTCACAGTTAATTAGCTTCGCTGAATCTTGGGAGAGCTTTATGTGAGTTGCTACAGCAACAGATGAATTTATCTCAGATCATATGAAACCAGCTTGTTTTGGTCTCCAGACTTTCTTGATGGTATCGTGCTCAGAGACCTTGTTGACACTGACCTATACCTGAAGAGGTATTTAATATCACCACAGAGGAGAGCAGATGCTAAAAGCAGCCTATGTGTTTTGAGTATGACGCCTCCACATGAAACCCTTTGCAAAGCCGGGTGTTAAGTGCTGGCTATTAAGTATATAGAGTCTGTAACGTTCTAGGCTTTTTTAAAGTAAAAGACTGTGTAACATTGTCGAGCTGTATCTGTGTGGCATTATTTAAAAAAGTGCACACATGCCAAGATATGACAGATTTCTCACAGACGACAACTAAACTGAAAGAAGTGCTCATGGCGTGGAGTATAAGCAGATTTAAACTGAGTGAAGGGCACAGAAAAATGTCCCTCTTCTTCTCTGTGAGCACCCAGTGGGAGGCTTGGGTGACAAAACCACAGCTCTTTGTACTAATGCCCTCCCAGCATGCCTCTGTCTCAAACGGTACACAGTGCCCTGCAGCAGGTCATGATATTTCATTTTTAGTGTCAGATGGCCTGTTGGGCCTCTCTTTTATCTTGGCTCAGTGGCCAATAAGACTGCAGGCTTGATATTTACTGCTGGCCAAGCGAGTTAAACTGGCCATAATTTTGCGCTCCCTTCTTACACTTCATGGTGAAAATGGGATTAGAGTTTAGTTGAGTTTGAGGTAAAACTAAAGGCATTTTGACTCCAAGGGTTTTGCTCACAATGTTGTGCGCCGTCTCCTATAAAGTAACAGAGCAGCTGAAATATCGTGGATCTGAAACGTATGGAGAAGTCATCTGAGAGTAAATGTTCAAGAAATTCACAGGAAAACATCAAATATTGTTATATATTTGACAGATAATCCTTTCAATCTGCTGTCTCTGGGAAAGCTGTGATTAATATTGAATGGCGTTGGTGTTAGTGGTGCGGTTCTGATCAGTTTCTCTAAAAACTGTGCACAATCTGCCTTCTTTGCTCTGCGATCAGACTGACTCAAATATATCCCTGCATTGTTAGTCTGTTAGAACACATACAAACTAAATTATAGCAGGAAAATGCCTCTGATGCAGAGGTGAGGGAAGGTTAATGCAGTTAAGCATTTACTGACATAGTATTCATTCAAGCAGCTTCGGTGTTTGTTTTAAAGCAGTTTATTCAGATAAACACCCCTAAGGCTGCATCAATTCCAGACAGAAGCGGATTCAGTTGATTTACTGAATTACAACCACTCGAATATCACTTTTTCTAAGGGCTTTAATCAGTGGAGTCACACTAATTGCATATTAAGGCAAAACTAAAAGAATGGTTTCACTCCAAATAAATCTCTATTTTGAAGTAACACCCTGTGTCATCTCTGCCTCTCAGAGTCCGAATATTTATTCAGTCCGTGAACATGTGCAATATTTCCACCCTACATGCCCTGAGCATTTAAGCAGCAATATGACACCACAAGATTATTTTTATTTTTTTTGTGTATGTGTGTAAATTTTGCTTTCCCAACCTCTCAGAAAGCTATTTTCTGAAGCCCTTTCTGCTCATTCACCTTGTTATACTTTATGGATGTGGGTGGACTAAAACAAAAAGTTCAAATGCACCCCACATAAATCCAGCTGGATCATGTAATACATGAAGAAAATTTATGAGAGGTGGAAAAATAAGAGCGCTGATTTTTAGAGAAAACTATGTAAGAGCCAAAACGAGACGTATAAAACTCTCTTGTGCTAATGAAATTCTTTGTCCAATTTAGGAAGCAGTATTTAAGAAGCAGTAAATGGAACAGATGGTGTTTTTTTTCCCCCTATATTTATTTTTTTAAGTTTTTATCAAGGGAGGACTTGATAAATGTCTTGGTCTTGCCACATAAACAGCAAACATTCACACCTGGCAGGCGCTATCGTTGCTTTCGGGATTTAAGCCCAGTGTAAGGGTAACTAGATGATGGTTCTGAGGATATGAAAAGTGTTTATCATCATCTTTTTCAGATTATCCAGCATTAATTCTCCCAGTCTGCGTCTCTTGCAGTAATTATACAGCCCTGGTCGGTGTGTGGATCTACGGCTTCTTTGTGATGGTGCTGCTGGCTCTGGACTTTCTCTACTACTCAGCCATAAACTACGAGCTGTGCCGGATCTACCTGGAGAAATGGGGTCTTGGAGGACGCTGGCTGAAGAAGGCTCGGAGTCAGTGGCACAGGTCCATGCCGGAGGAGAGCGAAACCCAGGCTCAAGTGCAGCCCATGGTCCCCACCCACTTCCAGCCCAGACACAGCCTCAGAGGGGAGAGCCACAGCCCTACGCTCCTGCCCTACAACACATCCACCGCATGGTGAGTCACTGCCCGTCACATGACAGCTGTCAACCTCAATGCCATGGACATAGACAGATGCATTTCTGCAACTACTAAAATTATCTGTCTCCGGTCAAAAGAGAATAAAGCATTAATAGCTACAGATGCTAAGACCCTTTAAAAAAATCGTTCCTTTAATTCTGCCTCTTGTCTTGTTTTCTTGTCTGCGTGTTTTCTTTTGTGCTCATTGTTTTGTTTGCAGACAGCAACATGGCAAGGAAACTGTGTCTAGCAGGACAAATTAAAACATTTTTAGCATACTTTCCCGAAAGCCAGCAGCAAGGAAGCTCAAACATTCCGGATCCTAATTTCCTAGAGTCGCTCGTTAGGGGCGCACTGTAAACACAAAGATATAGATAGCACACTCGCGATTAGATCCGACCAGTGGTATTACCAACTGTCAATTCACTGGGTTACAGACTTCAACAGAACTTTTAGAGCTCCACTCCCTTCTGCCCAGCAGTGAATCATTTTCTGCAAAGCGTCTGATCTGTATGCGTCGTTCATCTCAAAATAGCTGCACTCTGTGTCAACATAAACCTTTTTTTTCTTTTATTTTATAGGAGGAATTTGGGTGAGAGATATTTCTTGGTTTTAAGTCTGACCAACTCATTAGGGAGCTATCATTATTAATGAATAGAAAAGAACAGGATAATGTGAAAGCTGCAGTGCCCGCCTGGGGCTTCTAGCTCATATTTAACTTGAATGAGTCGACTGTGAGTCGCATTAGAAATCATTTGTGGAGTTTCTGCGGCAAAACACCATCTGCTATGTGTTCAGTGTATCTTTTTTATTACCGCTGAGAGCAGTCCAAGCCGTCTGAAGGTGTGTTAGGCTGCATGTGACTGCTGTTAGAACATACGCAATGATTTATGATGCCAGGAGTGACCTGTAACGCGCCATAGCTGCGGGGAGCTTTTCTTCCTCTGCCAGACATTGTTTAAACTTTCAGAATATAGCTGCACAATCGCAGAGCGCAGCCTGAACAACCATACATTTTTGTGCAGTCGATTTTTCATCCGGTTGCGTGTCTCCAGACACCGTGCACCCTTATCTGTCTCTGATTGTGGCTCAGTCTCCTCCTAGAGGTAGACATCTCTCTCGGGTCATGATAATTTAATGTGGGTAGAGTTTTGACAAATGGCTTTAAGAAGCACTGTGGACTGTAGAAGCCATAGATAGAAGAGTTGAGATGCTGCAGAGGGATCCTGGGGCTGCTCTGCTGGTATAAACGTGGTTAACTAAGACTGAACATATCCGCGGAGCCTCCTCATTAGACATGAAGTCAGTTCAGTATGATAGGACTCATCAATCCTTGACTAGTAAGGTTGACCTGCACTGGCGAGAAGCCAGCATTAAGGCAGAGGAAGTCGATTTAAAAAAAAAAAAAAGGTGTTTGAAATAGCAGCAAACTGCTCATTAACTAAGTGGGCTTGGAAAATGAGAGCAAGATAAGTTCATAGTAATTCATTGTGATGAGTAATGGGAACTGCTTTAGGACTGATAGTGTTTTGGTATCATCTTTTGTAAGATCCCTATCTAAAAATACCAAGAAAAAAATGTAACCGCATTTTTTACAAACAAGACTAAATTTACCATGAGCTAAATATGTTCTTGCATAATCATTGACATCAATAATAAAGTGACAGATGCTGCAAGATAAATTCAGTCACGAGCAGTTTCTGGGGCAAGATCAGAATAGCTTTTTGTGGGGAGGGGGAAAGTTTCACACAATGAAACACTTCTGAGAATCCAGATAACGCTTACACTTTTTCCTATATGTGTTAAGTAACCGTTATGGGCGATTCTCTCTGTGTGTATACCGCAGTTGACGTTGCCCACACGGTGCGTCATTAGATGGGTTTTATTTGCGGGGGTATCGATCTTTATCCCCAGAGAGGATGCAGAGTAATGGCTCAGAAAACTGGGTCCACTTAGTTGGACATCTGTTGGCCAAATGTAAACAACCAGAGATCGGGTCAAGTCCCATTACAGGCCCAGCAGCATCTAAAAACAACCCAGACGCACAGCAACTTTGGAATCCAGCACAAATGGTAACCCATGCAGCAAAGCAGGTCCTGATGGCAAGTCAGGTCTTAAAGAGAGAGAGAGGGGGGGGGAGAGAGCGCAGCTTTGCACTCAGCGTGTGGGAATCCTGCTTACCACGTTGCACGTAAGCAGGCTGGTATGTGCTGCTGCAGATCTACTCAGGGTTCAGCGTGGGCGGCCTGAGAAACTGTTATTACTTTTCCTCGGTGGATGCCCTTTATTAAAATCTCATATTCACGTATTCACTTCGGTTTGAATAAAGTACGAAAACGTAACTGTCTCTTTCTTCACCTAACGATGTATGATCCAGGTGAGAGACGAATGATCGGCTTGCCACACCAGGAGTCATGGATTATCATTACAGGGAGGGCACACTGTTTGTTTCCAAGCAGAGTTTACTCACAGGGTAATGTCACACAGTGGAAACAACGGATTTGTGAAAACCACTATTGCAAACTCATTGTTTTTCTACACGCTATTTGTTCAAGTGCTTATCCTAGTGTTGAATAGGATGGGCAGTTATAGTTTGTCCATTAGCTTGATAAAAAACATTTATGTAGGAGCTGTTTGGCTTGGACCTTTATGTGTCTTATATCTACTGGCCTGGGGACGCCTTATCCCTGCAAATGACCTAAACTAATGATTATTAAGAGGAGTTCAAGGAAGTCTTTCTGCACTTAAAAGATTGTGGACTCGCTCAGCTAATGAGAAAAAAATAGAAAAAACTAGAACATCACTGATGCAGCTCATCTGGCACATGATCCGTTGTAATTTACAGGTTATTATAATGTGTGAAATACAGAAAGCAGTGATGAGTTTTCCTACCATTGGCTGGCTGTATTGCACAAACTAATGAGAATTCAAATCCACTGAGAACGACAAATATGACCCTGACCTTGAGGGTGATCATTGTGCATAAGTTTGATTAAATCCTGACTCATAATGTCAGCGATTCTTGTAGATTATTGACAGATGGATGGATGACAGACGTCTTCCCAGTTCATTAGTCCTTCGAGTGGATGAGCTGAAAGTTAAATCATGATTTCAATAAAACATTCTAATATTTGTGTTTAGGTCAAAGAGGAACATATAAATAAGATTCCTAAATGGTCACCTGATTAATCTTTATACACAATGATTAGACCTAATTAAAATAAAATAATAAAAATCCTATAAAAGTAAAATGTATATCTATATACATATAAATGTAATAAAATAATAATAATAATAATTCAATTCAATTCAATTTTATTTATATAGCGCCAAATCACAACAAAAGTCGCCTCAAGGCGCTTCATAGATACAGAGAAAACTGGGAACTCAACAACCTAATAAATACATAACTGACCTATTAAACTATGGTGGCTGTCTTGATGCATGTTGCAACAGTAGCTTTAGTAGTAGCTGTCATCCTTAACTCTGCTGCTCTCACACTGAGAGGAGGGCTCATCCTGCGAGGACGTGAACCCGGAGAAGGTGGTGGTGTTGGAGGCCTCAGAGTGGTCGTGGAATGAGTTAAAACCATCAGGCGATAGAGGTTAAATTATCATAGCTGGCTTAGCAGATGATCACATGGAGCTGTTTAAAACTGAAGGAAGCATTGACAACTCAAAATCATCTCATCTCATCTACTTATAATCTGGGCAGGGAAACATTTTTCCCCATTTCCTTTCTTTATGCTTGGTTAAACTATAAAGATGTGCTACCAGATAGCGGTAATGATTTTCCCATTTAGCACTCAGTATCCAGTTTAAAATCCATTCACATTAACCCTCTCAAGGCAGGCGTTGCAGATTTGCAACAGTTAAAAACTAACAACCTCATTACCCCACGTGCATATTTTATGATTTTTTTTTACTCAGAAGTACCACTGCAGGACTTGGTTGTGCATTAGCAACAAAAAGTTTAACTTGAGCCTGAGAGGGTTAATGTGTCCTGCATAACATAGATCAAGTAGCTCTTGAGCTCATATGACCAGGATGCGGTAGCACAAAAACTACTGGGAACCCATTAAGATATCACATTGCCACAGAAAAACATTTTGGCGTCACTCATCTTAGCAGGGCTCTCATGTAGCTCTTTAAAAGCACTAAAACCTTCCTGGAAGTTCAGCAGCATTAGAGCCCTGCTTGGTTGTCCACCCGCAGCTATTAGGACATTAAAGCTTTGGCTGGCTTCCCAGTATCTGCACATCCCCCTTTTGCCTGCTTGTCCACCTCCTTGCAATTAGTGGTACTGAGCAGCATCATGACACTAGAAGGCAGATTTAAAAGAAGTTGCAGTGAGAATTTTCTATATCATCACTTATTTTACATTCCTGTGTAGTGTACTCATTTTGACGCTCCCCACTTCATAATTGGAACAAATGTGATCTGCTCCTGTCATTCAGTCTGGCATTTTTTTACTGCATATGTTAGATAGATTTAGTTTGCCTTCAGTCAGTGCTGATTAAGACTTACCCAGCAAAAATAAGTGTGCAATCTGGGGAAGGCAAAAAAAAGCAGATTTTTTTATTACTTTCTTTTTTGCTCGTGTTTGGTGGTAAAATTAAAAATACATAACTCAACTCTGGTTAATATATGCTGAGCATCAGCGAGAAGTCTTAGATTAAAGCGGGAGAAATGAGGTGTTGAGCAACATCAAATGACACCACTTCACTTGAGCAGAACACGTCACACAGATTCCCCTGGCGGCCGATGAATCACTTGGCACCGACTTAGAGCAGCACCTCATGCCAGCAACCTCCCACTCACTCAAGGCTGGTAGCTTACTGGGCCAGCTGAGCTTAGCCATGGGTAGAGTGGTCTAGGTGAGGTGGCATCTGTCAGCCTATTCAACATATACTTGACTCACCAGCCTTTGTAACACTGCCTCTTACAGTCAGTCACCAGTGACTCAGCGTTATAGCCCAGTCTAGTAAACGCCACCTCCGCCACTCGAGCAGTCTGTCTGTTACATCAGATCGGTCACAGGTAGGCATGCCCGACACCTGCACTTAAACACCTGCTGAGCTGCCTGCACAGGACACTCAGATAGACCCAGAAGGCTAAAACAGAATTTCACATTTTTTCACTTTTTTTTTTCTGTCAGTATGATCAAAGCCTATCTCTGTCTCCTGAATATTCACATCCATCTTTGAACTCACTGGTTCCCTTTTTCTGAGGTAATAATGTAATTGTACATTATGAAATTATTCCTGGCCTGTCTGTCCACAGAGCAGCATGCCAAGACCTTGTCCAATTAAAGCAACACACTCCATGTGGTGTGAGTTAATTAACATCATAGATGCTACAAAGACAGCCAGACGCACAGACAGTTCTGCTAAAAGGGAAAGAGAAGAAGAGCAGGTTTAGCTCTTTGAAAGTCGTGCAGTGACGTCTGGCACTGCCAAAAGCAAGATGGGGTTGGTGCAACTTTCTGTGTTTATTTTTGTGCTTGTGTTTGTGATCTTTTATTAGACGTGTTTTCACACATTTACTTTGCATTTTCTCTAAAGTGCAGTCAAGTATCCTTCAAGAACCAAAAACACTCTGTGTCACACTGCTGATAAAAGATTATTTCTGTGTCCCTACAAGGATGGAGGGTAAATCACTGCTAAGGTGTGGAAAGTGGAAATTTTTCTTTTCCCATTAATGTGCAGTTGTATTGTTTGGGCAGCAGAAATTATTTTCAGTTGGTGGATGTGATTCATAGAGCTGTGGTGGGAGTCTTAACAAGAATTACAGACTTGTAAAATATTCCTGTGAAGCTGGCTGCTTTTTGAAAAGCAGAGCTGGCCCATTTTATTAGTTTTTGTGTTTTCTGGCCTTGAGCTCATTTTCAAGCCAATATGTTGTTATATAAAGATCAGTGTGGACCATGAAACACAGAGCACACACTGAGGCAATTTTATCCATGAAGCTAAAAGTATTAAGTTTTGAGTCTCTGTTGTCCGGGATCCTGCCAGTTTTTCCCAAACAACTTTTGTGGCTACTCTGGAATTTGATGATACAGACATGTGCACTCTGGGCTATAAATTGGCTTTTTGGAGAGGATAAAGCAACAATATATCCACAAAGTATCAACCATTTTCATTCTGTGGGCTCCAGTTCTATGAGATCTTTAAAATATGTAAGCATGTTTGCTATCCTAAATACCATCTTCTTCACTCACTAGTTTTTCCATTGTTTTAAATCATCTCATGGCGTTCATCAGTGGTTGTCGTGTGAGAGTTACCAAGGATAAAGTCTGGTTGTTACCACGTGACCTGAGTGTGTAAATTTAGTCATGTGATAACAGGTGGATAATAGCTGATATTTAAAATCAGTGCTTTTCTCTGTTTTCTCCTAAAGCCAGGTTTTAGTCCTGAGATGACCTCTGTTTCCCAGACAGTTAGAGTTATGTTCCTCTGGCATTCAGTCAGTGTCTAGCCACTTAACCAATACAATGAAAACTGGAAACCACAGCCAAAGGAAAGCTAGATGTGGTTACATTGTCCAGCACCAACAGCCATTCTGTATGTAACTGCCTTAGATTGTGTTTGGTGGTGTTGTGACTGGCACTGCACTTTCAGGTCTGAAAACTGAAGCCAGCACGGGAGTGTACTGAATCATTTCTAATGGCCAGCAGGGTGCTGGGAAGAAAAAAGGCTGAGAAAATGATCCTACTGCTCTTTTGATTTCATAGAGAGTGTATAAAAGATGGGCACACCTGTCTAGTGTGAAATGCAAAGCCAGTGTGGAAGTGCCTTTAACCTGCATTTTATTGTAAAGGCCAGCAGAGGGCTGGTTTTCAAAATTTGCCCGGTTATGGAGAACTCTATGGAAAAATGCTAACTGAACTCAGTTTACGGCATTGACCAGAAGTTTTAAGTGACTAAAAATACTGTAAATACTGTGATTTAGAATAAAAAGGAGACTAATGCGACATAATCTTTTTGCAGGTATCTCTCGTGTCAGACAAGTCGCTATCTGAAACTTCTAGTATGCAGTTTCCTTTGGGTTCAGATCTCCAAACACACCATGTTGATGATGGCCAAAGGACTTAGCTTGAGGCTTAGCACACAAAAGTTAATATACGGTTGAAAGCTACAGAAAAAAACTAAAAAATGCCTGTAATTCTATATGTTACAAGCTTAAGAATGAACCCTGATACCTTATGTCTTTTTTTCCCCTTCTGGCAGAATGATGCTGTGAGTGGATAAACAGAAGAGTAGCAACACCTGGTTTCCTTACATGGTACAGAGGAGATGTTCCCCAGTCACCCCTCTCTGGACCACAAACACAGCATCACTGGTGGGCTAGCCATACTGTAGTAGCTAGAAGTGACTACTGCCCCCTTTCTAATGAGCACAAAATACCCACAGACTAACAGAATCAGGCGAAACAGCTGAAGAAAGCCTGGAAAGCCACACAGACGAATGTATCGCTGCTTCTACAGAAGGGAGAGATGGATGCATTTATCTGCTTATAGGGTTTAACTGATTCCCTAAAGTATCTGCCAAGGCCTGGAGTACCCCAAACAAATCCAAGATGAACTGGATAAACTGTACTCGCAATTGAGAAAGCTTGTCTATTTAAAGAAAAAAAAGACGAAAAAAAAGCTTATTTCTAGATATAACATGTTTATTAAACTGCTGTGTCACTTTGTGTTCAGTAGCAGTTAGACACAGTTGTGGGTTATCTATTTGGTGATTTATTTATGTGAACTAGTCAGAGAAAATATATGAGTGGCTAACAATCTGATTATGTAATGGCTTAGGTTGATGCTGAGCATCTCACTTAGAGTAGAATGTTTTTGTTACCTACTGAAACCAGAAAAAATGCCTCTGCAGCCACGATGAAAAACAAACATCTTATACAAAATGTTTTTGGTCTCCTTTCTGCAAAACAAGCGATTTCTTGAAACAGTGTCGGAAAAGGACGTAAGGCCATAAAAATAAACTGCTGAAACTTCAAACATGAGGGTTTTCCATCTTCACACAAGCATTAATGAGGATCAGGGATGCCTTCATAACAGCCACAGTCTTTATGCTAATTTACACATATCCGTATCCCTTGGCAAAGAGCCTAAAGACCTGAGTGAAACCCTTACTTTTCAAATTACGAGTTTGTGACAGTTTTCTATAACATCACCCACTGACCTATTTGACCTTCCTCGTTATTAGGTCTGCCTGAGATCAGCTTCATTAGCAATATGACGCAAAATAATATCCATTAGTTTCTTTATACAAAGTGCTCCAAATTCCACATTGGTAACAGGCAACTGTAAGTAACTAGCCATAACAGAAAATGTTTCCAAAAGAAATATCAGTAAACCCCTTTCACTGTCAGCAATAATGTACAGAAGCTTAACCAGAGGATCACATGGTATGTAAAAATCAGAGTCAGTTTGGCTTAGTTTGCATTTAATAAGAAGGTGATGTCAGTTAAATGGAGATATAATATTTCTGGATAATGAACTCTTTTTTTTTTTGTCAGCTCTGTAAGAAAAAAGACATGATTATCTCTCACTAAAAGAAGCTCTTGCACACTTTTTACATTAACGCTCAGTGTATTTCATAGCAAAAACTGTCAATTCTTATTTCAAACCGCCACCAGTATGGTATTTATTTATTTAAATCTTTGTTTTATTTATCCCTCAGATCGAAAACAGTTTCTAATTTTTATAGTAGTTTCATTTTAACAGAATCTCAACCAAAAATCCATAAAACAAAGACACATTAAATAAAAGTTATAAATTGATTTGCACCTCATTGAGTGAAATAAGTATTTCATTTGTGCGAAACATGACTTAGTGCTTGCTTTTGCACACATCTCAGGAGGGATTCTGGCCCACTCTTCTTTACAGAAACTATAAATCCTTTAAGGTTTCTTGGCTGCCAGTTTACAACTCTAAGTTCGTTTCCCTCCACAGATTTTCTAGGATTGAGATTGGGAGATTAGCTAGGCCACGACCTTAAGGGGCTTCTTCTTGTTGCCTTGGCAGTACAGTATGTTTTGGGTTACTGGAAGACCCATCCACAGCCTATCTTCTGGCTCTTAAGTGGCCAGTGGACTGTTGTTGTTGCATCCATTGACCTCAGTGTGGTGAAGTCATCCCACACCCTTAGTGGAAAGATGGCTCCAAAGCACAATGTTTCCACCTTTGTGCCTGACTGTGGGGATGGTAATGTTTGGGTCATACTCAGCTTACATACACAGGGGGTCAAGTTGATGCCAAAGAGCTTGATTTTGGTTTCATCTGACCACAGCACTTTCTCCCAAGCCTTCTCTGAATCATTTAGATGTTCACTGGAAAAGACGGACCTGTACATGTGCCTTCTTGAGCAGGGAGACTTTGCGGGCACTGCGCGCTACCAATGGTGTTTTGGCGATTGTGGTCCCAACTGCCTTCAGACCAATAACAAGCTCCCAGGAAGTTTTGGGCTGATTCACCACCTTTGACATGATTATCCTCACTTCATGAGACAAGATCTTGCATTGAGCTTGAGATGGAGGGACATGTTGTTCCATGCACATCTACAATATTGTCCTTGACATTCTCGGACATCTCTTTGGTCTTACCTATGGTCACGGTGAGGTTGAAATGGAAGAAACTGATTGTGTGGACTTGTGTGCTGGGCACACAGCCAATTTGTGGGATCAAACATTTATTTCACTCAAAGGCATGCAAATATATTTATAACTTTTATGTGATTTGTTTTTTTTCCCTGGATTTTAAATTCAGAAAAAGATGATTTCAGGAAAGGAGAAAATAATTATTTCTGTGAAAATAATTATTTATTGTGGGATTTTGGATTGACAAAAAAGTGAAACAATTATTACACTGCTTTAGAGATGGTTGCAACTAAAGATTTGATTTAATTATTGATGAATCTGCCTGTTGCTTTATCAACAGATGAATGAATCGCTTGGTTTGTGTTTCAGAGAAAAAAGTGGAAAAAAAAAAAAGTAAATTTAGCAATCAGTATTTAAGTATCACAGGAAGATGGAAACTGAAGGAAGGAAGATGAAAACTGGGGAATGTTTGTCATTTTTACAAAATTAATCAATAAATCAACTGGCTATTAGAGTAGGAAAAAGTTGACTGTTTTACCTCTTATAGTCTCGGTAAAGTTGTTACCCAAAGTTGCTGAAATCTACTTTCTTGGCTATCCATAAATGCTGTCCTTTGTGTTTGGGGGAAAGCATGCAAAGCAGCTGCAGCGGTGCCAGTTTTTATATGAGTGACAGTGTGTGACGACCAGGTGGACAGAAGGTAGGTACAGTGGGGGGGTTGGTTGATGTAGGGGGGTGTGTGGGTAGGGGGTTGTCTGTTCCAGTCTTGCATCTGGTAGTCTGGCAGCTGCTGAGCTTATACATGGAGCACTTTGCATGTGCGCTGAAAGCTAACAGCACACACTGTTAATCATTAAGAGTTGGCTGACTCAACACAAATACACCAACAGAAACACAAAAAAGCCAGCTATTAGACTTGTCTGTTGCCTTCGTGTTTCCATCTCTGTTTCATGAAGTTTAAGTGGAACCTAACAGAACTGTGGTCAAGTGCTGTAAGTGGGGCCTGCTAGCGTCATCCTCAGTTATCAGCAATAATATTCAAATTTGTAGAGTTGTTAGAGCAAGTTAATCCCCATTTCAATAGCTAAAGTTTAGGTGTGTGTGTGTGTGTGTGTGCGCGCGCGCGCGCACGCACATGCGCGCACACGCAGGCTTGTGCCATCGCTTTTAGGAGCAGAGAAGCAGGATGAGTCCAAGTAAAATAATTGGCCTGGAGATCAGCAGTGGTTCAAAATTACACTGTCTTGCCGTCTCCCTCGAGCTGCCTTCCTATTCCCAGAGTGTGAACAGCAGTAGCAAACAGGGCAGGAGAGATTTTTAATTAGTCCCCAACGCTGGATAAGTGGGGGAAAAAATCAGATACGTTCGAGAACATGTCGCTTTCAGGGCTCTGTGCTGTGTTTTGACCTGTAATAAGGAACAGGACATTTGTTCTTATCACCAATAATGTAATACAGTAGTCGTACCCAGGGAATTTTAAAAAGCTTCATTTTGCCTCTGACAAGCAGTAGCAGGGTCACAAATGGATTCCCTCAAGAGACATATACGAGGAATCTCTCCTCTCTTTTCTTTTCATTTTTAATGTTTTGTGATGTTTTCTGTTTTGTTGAAAACAGTCTTGACTCTGGCCTGATGTGATGTGGTACTGTAAATCGTATCAGCTCGACCCTCTTCCCATGTCAAAAATAAGTATATATATATTATATATATTATAAATATATATATATATATATATGAAGTAATATTTACAGTAAAAAGGATGGGAAGAAGGAAGCACATAGCTGTTTCAATCTGTCCAGGTTGTCATGGTAACAGTTGCCTTACAGTTGAATACCCACCTGTACAAAGAAGCTTTGTAGTGGCTGATACCTCACTTTTTGGGTGTGGTGGTGGTGGTGGTGGTGATGATGACGATAATGTGCACCACGTTCTGTCTATGTATTTCCTACTAGATAGAATGAGCAGTACCGTTTTTAGTTCGATTGTTATTGCACTTGTTGACTTTGTATTGTCACGACAGGGAGAAATAAAGTTTTATCTTTTCCAGTGTGTTTAAATGCCTTTGTGTCAAGTGCTCTTTTGGGGAGGGGGGAATGAATGCGTAATCCTAACCCTTAGGCTAAAGCCAACCCTGAGAGGAAAAACAACACTTTGAGTCTCAAAACTGCCTTCAAACTCATGGGGACAGGCATTTTGTCCCCATAAGTATAGTAGCATTCCAGTTTTTGGTCCTCACAAAGATGTATAAACATGAACACACACACACACACCAACAGAGGCCATTTCATTAGGTACACCTCGCTAAAAAAAAAAAAAAAAAAAGGCCTACCTTTTGTCTTTTGATCTACCTGGAAAATAATCCTCATATTGGATACTGGTCCATGTTGACATAGTCTGTCATGATGTGAGATCCATGATGGGAATCTCCTGCTCTATCACATCCCAAAGGTCTTCTGATAGCCTGAGAGATCATGACTGTAGAGGATGATTGAACTCATTGTCATGTTCGAGAAGAGTGAGATGACTAGAACTTTGGGACATGGTGCATTATCCTTTCCATAAAAAGACGGGTGCACTTAGTTCATAAAGCAATGGACATGATCAGCAGCAATAATCAGGTAGGCTGTGGTGTTTAAATGATGCTCAGTTGATACTAAGCTATCCCCTACAGCAGCGGTGCCCAACCTTTTTTGCGCCACGGACTGGTTTATGCCCGACAATATTTTCATGGACCGGCCTTTAAGGTGTCGCGGATAAATACAACAAAA